GTGTGTGTGTGTGTGTGTGTCTTTGCCGTTGTTTTTGTCTTATGTCGTCAATTTGCACTTGAATGACTTGCTCGCTCCTGTGTTTTCATGACGATGCGCAGATATCGGTGTGTTTTGTGGCTGATTCGGATGTGGGCGTTGCCGCAGTGGAGAAGGTCATTGAGGGTAGTTATCACAGCCCGCGAAGCACTACTCATTTGAAATCGGGTGGAGCAGTGGAGCTTGTAAAGCACTTCTGAACTGGGTTCCGCTCTGAGACTTCATGCTAGACTGCTAGCCTGAGCAGTGTTTCGAAAGCTGTGTTGCAAAGCTATATGAGCTTGAGTCTAAACTCCTTAAGGGGGGTTCTAGGGGATTTCATAGGAGAGTATCATAGGGGATATTAAGCTCCCAGATACCCATGGTACTGGCCTTATGGCACTAGCCCCTTACCCAGTCGAATGCTGTTGCTGTAGGTATTTGGGAGGTCCTGATATCCTAAACCCCAACAGCTTAGAAGCCTAGTCCCCCCAAAAAATTACGAACCTAAACACCAGCAAAGCTGAGACCATCGAGCCCTGGCAGCCGGCACCCCCGCCACGCCACGCAGCGGCGCCAAGGTCCGCGACAGGGCTTGGCGCTTGGGATTCAGGGCTTTTGGGGTAGTATGAAGGTTTATAGGGCTTCATGGGATTCACAAAAGAGCATAGAAGAGCATTTTGGGGTTCGGGATCTACGGCTTTGGGTTCAAGGGCTGGCTTTTCTAGGCGTGGGGTTTAGGGCTCAGGGCTTTTTTCGACAACCATGCGATACTCTTGATGGTTAAGGTATACATGTGGGTTATATAGGGGAATGGAAAATTGCTGTTTAGGGTTTAGGGCTTAGATGTTTTGCCGGGCGCGTAGGCGCAGGGCTTAGGAGTTCTAGTTTTAGTGATGTAGCCCCAGGTTTGGTGCAGTGTGAGGTGACAAAAGATACTGGATTCTTCCATGAAAAGGTTTAGGGTGTAGGGTTGAGGGTAGATGTGAGGCAGTTCTGCTGTGTTCTGGGCCTCGAATCTCAATTTTGGGCCTCTGGTCAAAGAGGACCAAACACACAGGGAAGCAGAGTTTTCGAGGACGATGGCATGCACGGAAAGTCTAGATAAGAACTAAGTGGAGATGCTTGGCAATGGATCGGATATATCCCGAAACCAGCTCCACTATCCACCCCAAAATCCAAAAAACAATAAGCTACACATCCCCAGTATCCGTTTAATGTTTATTTTCTTGTCCACCGATTCTGCATTATTGGGGCCTTAGGTTCCACCTTACGTAACCCTTATACCCTAAACCGCGCATTAACCCTTATACCCTAAACCCCGCATTCACTGTCCTTTCCAAAACCCCTTCATGACCCAGCCAGGGCGGACTGGAGTGCGATGGCCCCTCCACCGCCACCGGCAGAAACTTTGCTGCAGCACTCGATGGGAGTTGTTCAAGATCAGCCCTCTAATTAGGGTTTGGGGTTTAGGGTTTAGGATTTAGGGTTTGGGGTTTAGGGTTTAAGATTTAAAGTTTGGGGTTTAGGGTTTAGGATATAGGGTTTGGGTTTGGGGTTTAGGTGTCAATGGTCGGACAAGTAGGTTCATCCTGGGGACAGCAAGGGTTGTTATGTGGCTTGTGGAGGTTCTAAGTACCCTGTGTTGTTCAAGCCGAGCTCTCTAGGAAGTCATGGGGCATCTGCTTGAAATCCCCTATAATATGTGTGCGATATGAAAATATTGGTTTTGTGACAGGCTTGGGCGGGCATTCCGCGACAGGCTGGTAACAAAATTTCCCCTGCTTGCAACACAGCTTTTTTGCGGGCAAATTTGTACGGGCGTTCAAGATGAAGGTATGACACAGGTCACGACGAAGGGGTATGCAACAGGCGGGTGGGCCTACGACAAAGCGGGCTTTGATCCACAGCCACATAACCCTAGAGCCACTCAGATATCGCTGTTATGAGAACCTCCGGATGCAGAGAAACCTGCAAAATCGGCTCTGAAAAAATAGATGGGTAGTTGTCAAAATAATGGGCCCTTTTTGGACCCCTATTTTAGTACGGCATAAATTCAGGTACCCAAGAAGGGACCATAATTTTGACAACCACCCATGTATGTCATTCTAAGAGAAAGCTTTTGGCTTGCATTTTTGCATGGACTAGGTACCCCAGTAGTACCCTAATAGTAGGAAAAGGGTACCACCCTAAACCCTAAACCATTATGGGGTTACTGGGGAATCTAGTGCACTCTTAGGAAGGGAAATTTCAAGCTGGACAAGGCGCAGCATGGCTTCAGATGTGCTGGATCCGACGCGGTTTAGGGATTTTAGAGTTTAGGGTTTAGGGTTACTGTGCCAGCCATAAAATGTCAGGAAGGTGAAAGCGTGGCAGCACAGAGCCGAATGAATTACCAATACTATGGTCCTAGGTTCCTTTTGCAACTATGGTATAGAGTGTCTCCAATGGGCCATAGTCTACACTCCTCAAAGGTGGGTTATATAAGGATATACATAGGAGACCTAGTACAGGGGTTATTTAGGGGGATGCTAGGAGTTTAGATTATAGCTCAAATGGACCCCAAGTAGATACCGGTAATTACACTCCCCCAAGCTAACATGGAAACCCATATAGTCCCCTTTTTCAAGGACTGTAGTCTTTATAGGGCCCTTTTGGGGTTTCCACCTAAACCCTAAACCCTAAACCTTAAACCCTAAACCCTAAACCTTAAATCCTAGGCTCCTACAGTACTGCTTGATGGCCACCTGGTAGCCTCAAACTGGCTGCTCGAGAGAAATACGTGAAAATCAGCCTTTGTACACGCCCGGAGACTAACATGGAAACCCCAAAAAGGACCTATAAAGATTGCAGTCCCTTTAAAAGGGGGACTATATGGGTTTGCATGTTAGTTGGGGGGAGTGTAATTCTCAAGTCTAATCTTCACCTCGAAGCCCCAGCCCTAAACCGTCTCCGCAAAAGCAGCCGTGAAGGTAAAGCTAAATTCCAGCGCGGGCGACTTCGCTGGAGGCATCAAGGTCATAATCTACTTACCTTGGGCTAGCTAGGAATGAAGGACTGGATCCTTATAGTAGTGCTTATATCACCCATTATAGTACCATCCCTTCATTCCCAGCTAACCCAAGGCCAGTGTAGTGTTCAGGTGCGAGTCAAGGTGGAGAGCTTAAGGTCAGGGATGCTGGTTGAGAGTTGAGGCCATGAGGGACTACTAGTATTATTTTCATATACACTGCTATATGTAGTATAGTAATTTGTATCATATACGTTGCTATATGTAGTATAGTAATTCGTATCATATACGTTGCTATCCGTAGTATAGTTGTTAGTATTCTTCATATACACTGCTATATGTAGTATGCTAGCCCCGGAGCACTGGTTTTTGGTGATGTCTGCTTTGCGTCTGTTGATGGTGGCGGCGGTGCTGATATTTCAAGTGAGTAGTGCCGCAATGGCGACCAATACAGCCACGTGATCACGACTCAGGCATGGGGCAGTAACATGTTTGCAAGAATTAGGGGGTTGTCTGTTGCTAGTCCAGATGATGAGGATTTTCATGCAGTGGGGTCTTGTTTCCGGGCCCGTGGCATGGAAAAAGAGCTAAAGCAATGATGGAGATTTCTATGTGGAAAAAAACTAGGTAGGATGAGCGCCGCCGTGCACACCCTGATCATAACAATCTCCTGAACCCCATGCCCCATCAGAGACAACCAAGCCCCTAAGTTCAGGGTTTAGGTGTTAGCCCTGAACCCCAAACCCTAAACCCTAAACCCTTCAGGTTTAGGCTTAAGGGCTTATCGTCCCCCTTAAGTAGATAGAATATGGGATATATGAGGATCTTCTTAGAATATATCCAAAGCCATATTCTATCTACTTAAGGGGGACGATAGGGACCTGAACAGTTGGCTGCCATTCACTGGGTTGCTGTTAAGGAACTTAAATTAAGCTACTATATTGGGGAAACCCTATTATTTACTATATATACCCATTATGGTAAGTTAATTTAAGTTCCTTAACTCTAAACCCTATATCCCCTTTATACCCCTATGTACCCCCATGTACCCCTATAACCCCCATATTATGATAACTTAATTTCAGTTCCTTAACAGTAACCCTAAACCCTAAACCTTAAACCCTAAACCCCATTCAGGGACCCCATGCACCATCTTCTTCGAAGTCTCGGACTCCGAGGCAGCTCACATCATTGGCAGCTCAGCATGCAAAGAGGCTTGAACATAGGCTTCACTGACATGCAAGGAGGCTTCAGAATAATGTTCACTCTAACCCTTGTATTAAAAGGACTGTATAAGAGTCAGTTGGGTAGTCATGAGGTCCATTTTGAGAGTTGGACTAAACAACACTCCCTTATCATGGGATTAGGATTTAGGCTATAGGGTCTGGCATTTGCAGCGTTGCCGTTCGGCTTGGTTTAGGGTTTAGAGTTCCACCGGCCGAGCCGCATATTGTGAACAGGTATCCCTAAACCCTAACCCCTAAACCCTAAACCCTGAGCTGTTTCCGCTGGCCCCCCCATCCACCATCACTTCCCCCCCTTCGAGCGGGTCCTCATCGTCTGGCTCCCTAGGATATTTCAGGGTTTAGAGTTTAGGGGTTACATAGGGATTTAGGGTTTAGGGGTTATATAATAGGGATTTAGGGTTTAGGATTACTGGTTTAGGGGTTATATAGGGATTTAGGGTTTAGGGTTTAGGCTCTAAACTCCTTAAAGGGGCTTATACTGGGGACAATATAGGAGACTACTATAGGGGCTATTCAGCGGCATACTAGGAGTTTAGATTATGGCTCGTTTGGTTGCTGCCCTAAATAGGCGACCCCAAAATAAGCCACCAAAAAATATTAATTAGAAGCCTTATTATAGTGGGATCCACAAATTTTGGCCCCATTACACAAATTTGCAGCATAAACCCTAAACCCTAAACCCCATTACACAAGTTTGCAGCACTTAGCAGAAAAGGCCCATGGTTTGCTGGTCCTACAGAAGATTGACACAGCCGAGGTTGAAGTTGTTACAACACAGACTTGTTCCAGGCCTTACTCTACCCTCCCTCAAACGACATCGACCCTCCAAAAGGGGCCAAACCAACCCAAAGAAAGGGCCTCACGGAGTCATACGTCAGTTTGGCGGGGACTGAGCTACTGTCAATATGAGGCTTCCATAGGGGCCTCTTTGGCAGATAAGATGTGATGCTGTATTCATTTGTTCTGCGCTCGAGATATTCTAGGAGGAGTGGCGGGAGAGGGTACAGCGCGTATGGCCTTAACAGAACGGGAACTACCAGAAGCAGATGAGGCTCCTCTACTGGGCTGCGGTTAAGGATTTTTTTTGAAAAAATATCATACGGAAACCACATTGTTGACTGTATACTCATATTATGGATTATTATGGTAAACTTAAATCTAAGTTCCTTGTAACAGCAACCCATTTTTATGTAAGGCGCAGTGCCAAAGAGATGCAAGATTATTTGGGGCCTGACAAGAATCCTCGAGAAGGCGACATAAAATAGTTCGTCTTGGGGAAAAACAAGGGCCGACCCACCACCGGCTGAAGCCTCAAATGAAGGAA